ACTGCTTCAAATGTCAAAATTCCACTTTAAAATCACTTGTCTTGCCAGCCACAGGTCTCATTAAACTAGCAGCACCAGCCCAGTTGTGAACTGAATGCAAGTTAACAGGCAATGCTGCATGAGCAGAATTCCAAGCAGTACATACTAGAGATTTGGATATACAATCCAGCAAAAATAACCTCTTCCTCTCCCATCATCTCACACTTAGTTCATCCTCCCTACCAAAAAAAAAAAAAAAGAAAAAAAGAAAAAAAAAAAAGTTGCGGGATATAATTTTTCTCCCAGTCGAGGACAACCTCAGGGTTGCTTTTACATTACATTTGAGTAAGAAAAGGTGAGAGGTTTCAGAAGACAGGTAGGAAACAGCTCCGGTTCCTATCACCAGCTTTGGAGATGTGTGGAGGCCGCCTCAGATTCCCAGGACAGATGCTTGTTGACCATTTCTCCTCATTCTGTAGCAGCATCTCTAGGGATTTGCCTTAACACGAACAAACATCCACGATCCCAACTCAGCATGAAGCTACTCTCTTCATTAGGTGCCTTCTTTAAGGTAAATAAAGATAAAACAAACCATGCAATGCTTAATCTTTGTTATTTATTGGTCTTCATACAATTTAGGAGTTAACAAGTGTGAGCGCTATACAGCATTCTCAACAGCTGAGGCTGCACCGTGACTCACTTCACACAAATATCCGTGGCCACATTCCTGACCTACTTTGGGAATTAGAGAGCACTGAAGACAGGAGCTTGTTTCCTTTAGCAAAGGAGAGCCCCGTGGAGTTTTTGGCTGGAATCTACCAATTGCATGGATTTGAGACGAAGTATATATATAAAAATAAAGAGAGAGAAGAGAGAGAGATTTCCAGGTTTTGCTCTGTTCCTGTCCAAATAGGGGCCAAATTCAAATACAGGATGCCAGTGCTCCATATTTTACACTATGAGCTTACCTTGAGGAATTCTTCCCATCCGCTGCTGCTCCACAGCCCACGGTCTGGACATGCACTCCCAGATCAGTATCTTGGCTATTTCATTTGACATTCAGAGAGAACTCAGGAAAAGAAAGTTAGCATTCCTGGAACACGTCAAAAGGCCTCTAAAGTCTTAGGTTTATGAGAAAAGCTTTACTCACATTATGCAAGATGACAATAAAACACAGTACTATCCACACACCATAAACACAGGGTGGTACACACCACTGCACACTTCCCACCACCTACAAATTTTGTTTTTCCCACAACTCTTTCAGAAATACAGGAAGAAAAAGCTGCAAAATTAAGGGGCTTATATAGATATTGTCCTCCTGTCATAGCAGTCTGTGATTCAAGAGCAAAAGCAGAGGGGTAAGAAAGGCAAAGCTGCCTTCTTAGAACTGGCAACGCTCCTGCCACACATTCACTCATAGCTTGGTTCTAGAAAGGCTCCCTAGAGCCACCCGTTATTGCAAGGGTCAGAAATGGCTATTTCCCTCTTCACAGATAATGATAGTCTCTGAAGTGGTATTATCTGCAAAATGATTTTTGAACTTTGTACCCACCATACTTCTGGGAATAAAATCAGCCTATGGTTAAGTTCATACAGACTGGGGATTTAATTCCCTGTCAGAGCGTGAGGAAATGACTATTTTTAGTACTAAGATAACGGCAAAGCTGGTCTGGAAACTCCCCCTTGTTCTCCCCTGGTGGATATTAATGAGAACTTTTACCTTGGATTCATTCTGAGAAATGTCCCAGAGGATTTTATTCAAAATATTTGAAATAGTTTGCAAAGACCACAGAACTACTCTGCATAGCACAAAAGGCAAAAAGGCAGAAAATAACAAGGCAGGAGCCAGAAAGGAGGGTTTATGGGGGGCACAGACAGCAGAAACTGCCCATATTCTTCCCATCTGTAACCGCTCCAACCTCCTTTGAAGGACATGATGGGGAAACCCATCTCTTTGCTAGCAGATACATTTAACAAGTTCACTAGCACAATTACCCATGTGGTTGGCACAGACTACTTGACTAGCAGCAGGTCAAGCCAAATTGCAGGTAACCTAAACACTTATTTTGCATTTTATTTAAATACGTTCTATGTAATTAAGCCATCACATGGCTTCTCAATTTTACAGGCAATCTTGGAGATCAAAGTTAATTTAAAACACCTGTAGAAAAAAGTCTCCAAACCTGGAATCCCTACCAAAGCCACCCAGAGCAGCACAGCAGGGGAACTGGGCCTTCTCCTCTCTCTATCTTCACCCTCTCTTCCAACAAAGTTCTTTCACTACTATTTTTTAGTATGATCACTATTTTGCACTCAGGGACTGCCTGAGTTTGTATGAGGGCAGAAAACCACATTCGAGGAGAATGAATTCAAGAAGACACCCAACAAAATGGTCTTGCTCTCCGGTCCATTCAAGCCTGGAGCAGGACAGCCCAATCTATTCCCTACCTGCAGCTCAAGTACCTTAACGTTAGTTTACATGGATGAGCCCTTGTTGGGATGGGAGGAATGTGTGAAAATCAGGTGTTAGAAAAAAAAAAAAAAACACCAACACAGAGCAGCCTTCGTGCACGGCCCTTCCGAGGGCACCAGATCCCCGGCCCCGGAGGGCAGTGCGGGAAGCCCCAGCGCACCCACGGACACTCGTTCATCACGGAGCAGCTCGGCCCGCGGCCACCCCGTCTCGTGGCGACGCT